GAGTGGGGCCGGCAGCCGCAGCAACGCGCTCTGCCACAGCGGTAACCTGCCACCGGACGCGGAGATTTTACTCCGGCCCCGCAGCAGACGCTTTTATCGCCGCCTCTGTCGGGGGCGGCCGGGATTTCAGCCCCCTTGCAAAAAGCTTTTTCGAAAACCAGCCTTCCCTGCACATCCTGCGCCACCTGAAGTTCCATACAGCGCTCTCATTCACTTTTTTTTAAGGATCCCTTATTTTTTACTTGTATTCTCATGTTACGTTGTCACTTAGAGTTTTGAGGAACTGCTTTATTCTGCTGTGCTTTTTCTCAATTAAAGAGACGACAGAAAAAAACTACGCCACTTCCATATGACATCTCTGAGACTAATAAAATTATTTTTCGCTATACCATTTCACTTCCGCTGTCACGGCATGATAAATTTCATGAAACATTGTCTTCCAAATATCACATACACAGACTAATCCCTATGGAGCTCTCTGAGTAAACAAGCCGCTCTGGCTTGCGGCCAAGTCGTTCGAGAATGACAGCTAATGTTTAAAGAGAACGACGACATTTTATTAGAAAAGTCAAGAACCGCATTGGAATAAAGCTGCTATTTTTAAAAAAAACAGCAGGAAAAACCAAAACACCCTAAGAGCTATAGTGTATATTTCTCTGTATTTACTAAAAAACTAGGAGCTAATTACTCTCAAACAAGGAAGGAAAACTTTAATAGCTTTAGGACTTAGATTAGGTGCTTAATGTTCTTTTTATAGGCTTGCCCGATGAACAGTCGGGGTGGGGCCCATACAAGACGACCCAAATCATTCCCGGTACTGTAACATGACAAACATTTTCCTTACTATTAAACAGTATGCCCTAGTCCGGGAACTAAAACAGCACTAAACACAAGTACCACTCACCGAACCGAATCAGTGTGAACGACTCTTTTACTGAGTACGTGGGTGGCTCTTAAAAGAGCCTTTGGGTTAAAACTGACGATCTGCGACGCTCTACTTGGAGCTGGTGTACTTGGTGACGGCCTTGGTGCCCTCGGAGACGGCGTGCTTGGCCAGCTCGCCGGGCAGCAGGAGCCGCACGGCCGTCTGGATCTCCCGCGAGGTGATGGTGGAGCGCTTGTTG